GATTTCCATCACAGAGTATGAGTTCCTGGGAGTCTTAAATGAAAGTGCTTTATGCTAAACAACTATATGAAAGAAAACTAAACAAACTCAACACCTCCAGTTAACATGAAAGCCAAAGCTGGAGGGCTTTTAGGAGGGTTCATATTTCCCTAATCTTCCTTGACAAAGACATTGTTAAGGCAAACGTGTTTTACACCTGATATCCTTTTCTCTCAGAAAATAACATACCTCCCACTCCAAGTGTTATTGAAACAACAAGAAATGAAGCCAAAGGGAACATGTCTTCTCTTTATATTGCTTTCAAGATCTAGGATTCTTAACCCCAGGTGTAATAGATTTCCTTTGGTTCCAGTGGCCAAGGATGTCAATATTCTTTTTGATGAACTAGAAGCCGTCAACAGTCCTTGCAAAGATGATGATTCTCTCCTACACCCTGGGAACCTGACCAGCACTTCAGATGATGCTAGCAGATTGGAAGCAGGAGGAGAGGTAAGAGTGTGTGGTTTCTTAAAAATATAACTCTTGATCCAGGTGGAAACCTGTGAAGCGTGTTCTGATGGACTACTTAAAGTCATAATCTCACTGAACTGTTGTTGTGATTGTTAATTGTTGTCAAGTCAGCTCCAGCACCTATGTCACACTTATATGTGATAGAGTAAAGAGTTGCGTGGTCCTCTGCCACCTTGCTGTCCATTGTTATGGTTGAGTCCATAGTTGTGGCTGCTGTGTTACTCTGTTTCATTGAAAGTTTCCCTCATTTTTCGCTGACCGTCTACTTTACCAAACAAGACATTCCTTTTTAGCAATTACCCTTTCATGATGCTATGTCCCAAGTAAGCTAGTCAAAGTCTTGCCATCCTCATGTCTAAAGAGCATTTGGATCGTATTTCTTCTAAGATTGATTTGTTTGTCTTCTGGCAGTCCACGATCTATTCGGTATTCTTCATCAACACCACAATTCAAGTTCTTTGAAAACAGGGAGCAGGTTTTGTATTTCTTTGGTCTTCCCCCGTGGATCTAGCACATTTCAGGGATCCTAGGCTGAAAACAGACTTTCGGTGGGCCATGCATTATTTTTCTTAAATCTAAAGACATTTACTTTAGGTGAGATTCTTAAAGCTACTCACCATTTTAAGTAATCCACATTCTCGGTGTCACCAACTAGTATTAAGCTTTACAGGGATGGACTTCCTTTTATACATCCCCAGCATATAGAACAGTTACATAAATGGACTTCAGTAGATTGTGTTGTCTGAAGCCTTTCTGAGTTTCTGTTTAACTCTAAAATCTGGAAACTCATTACAATTACTGTGTAAATAGACCCATCTGTTGCTATGTCATTTTGGCAAAAGAAGTATTTTGTTAGAGACATTCACCATTGCACAGGTTGTGATTCAGTGGAGTTTAATATCTTCTTTGTACAAGCATGGGTGTGGGTAATAGGAACACGGGGTCAGAGTAATTTATTTACTAATTTAGTTAGTAATTGCATATTCCTAATGTTTTCGTTATTCCAGAGCCAATTAACTATTGAAAGGATAGCATCTTTGAAGAGGGAAATTTGTTTGCTTACTTCTAACAGGCTTCCCAGACCTCTCCCCACAAAAAAAAAAAAAAAAAAAAAGGAGGCCTTGTC